TGTGTGTGTGTGTGTGTGTATATATGTATATGTATATATATCTTTATACATATAAATATATATGTTTGAAAGGCAAGCTGCCGAAGTAGAAAACATCAGGTTATTTAGTTCATACTAAGCATGTTAAGGAAACCAGATTTGTAGCCCATGACACAATTCTTTTTTAAAAATGAACATTTAAGATCTTCAAAAATTGCTACAGTACAAAAAAGTGTGTGTGTGTTGTATATATATATATATATTTATATATATGTATATATGTATATTGACCAGAAATATTGACTCTATCAGAAGAGATACCCCACCCCTATTTTCTGTAATATGTCTATGTGTAATTCACTTAGCTTCGGCTTGCTGCGAAGTCTTTCACATCAGTACATGGCACATAATGGTATTATTGGCACAGGTTCAGAATCACAGTCCATATCCCAAACTTCAGATGTTCGGTCCTTTGCCTCATTTCTTCTTGACTTCATCCTTCTTCACAGAGATTCTTTGCTTGCACATTTTTTTCTCTTCTTCAAAAAAATGCGCTCTTTGAAAATGCAGTTACCTATAGGCATGTTCATTTTTATAAAAATATATTTGGCCCATAGAGTGCTGCTCTTTTAGTCTCCTACCAGTAAACAGAAGGTACAGGTAGGTACAGGTAACCCATTAATATTTTTGTCTGTTTTGTTTTTTACAGGTTCACCAACGGAATCCTGTTAAAGATGAAAAGAAAAATAGAGGTTAAATTATAGCAGGGAAAATTAGCAAGATGTCTCATTCATGCACAGTATACTTTGCTGTGCTCTTTTCCCCCATTTACAACCACAATAGTTAAGAATGAGTCCTGTTAGGATGCTGGAATCTTTCAGTGTCCCTTCAGCATAATTGCACATCATGATTTAGGAGAAGAAATGGAAATGGCAACTGGTAAGCACCCCAGTGAGATCAGACCATGGGGCAAAGCATCATGTTAATGATAGTCTATTGCCCTGCCTGTGACATTTGTATTAGGGCTGTGCGGAGCTTTGGTAGCTGATTCAATTCAGAGATTAGGCTCGATTCGGGGACCGAATCTCTGAATCCGAATCAAATCAGGAGACCAATAAAAAGCTCTGAATCGATACGAAGCATCCGAATTGATTCAGAAAAGATTTAGAAAAGATTTGGCGATAGACTAAACAGGTAGCTGACACAGCTGCCTCCAGCTGATAAGTCTGTTGGGGTTTGAGGAGGGGGAGGGAGGGACTGGGGCTGGGGCAGCAGTGT